AAATATATCTTCTGAATAAATTTGGAATCTGCCCAAGAAGGATATATCCAGTTTTGTTAAATGAACACTCACCCTTTTTAGTTGTTGTTGTTGTTACCAGGGATTGAACTCAGGGGTACTGAACCACTGAGCCACATCCCCAGCCCTATTTTGTATTTTATTTAGAGACAGAGTCTCACCAAGTTGCTTAGCGCTTTGCTTGTGCTGTGGCTGGCTTTGAACTCACAATCCTGCCTCACCTCCCAAGACACTGGGATTACAGGCGTGTGCCACTGCACCAGGCAAATATTCCCCTTCTAAGCCTCACTTAAGATTCACCTCCATTATGAAATATTTTCCCAACCAAATTAAATTTCTCTGAACTTTCATTTCTACTTCTGAACAAATGGCACATGGGTTTGGGGGATGGGAGATACACAGGAAATCTAGATAAGAAATATGGCTTCTTGCAGGGAGTGTTGAAGGATGGGAGAAGCATGGCTCCCTGTGGTCTGCACTCCTCACTGGAGTCCCTTTCACTTGGCCATGGCACTTTTCCCAGGGATGGTAAGGGCATGTAAGCATATGTTGGTTTTGCCAGCTTCAGGATCCTTAAGTAAAATACACAGGCTAAATATAGAAAAAAGATCTACAGATACGGGATATGAGAGGTGTGAAGAAAACACACAATTGGTTGGTACAGTGGTGAATGCCTGTAATCCCAAGGGCTCAGGAGGCTGAGACGGGAGCCTCCTGAGCCCCGATCACAAATTCAGAGCTAGCTTCAGCAAAAGTGAGGCACTAAGCAACTCAGTGAGACTCTGTCTCTAAATAAAATATAAAATAGGGCTGGGAATGTGGTTCAGTGGTTGAGTGTCCCTGAGTTCAATCCCAGGTACCAAAAGAAAAAAAAAAAAAGACAACACACAATTGGAGATCAGAGACAGGGACAACACAATGTGCTGTAGTGTGAGTGTAAAGGAAGTTTCCACTGAAAAGATGATACTTGCAGAACAGCAGAGACCAGGAGGAGAGTTCCTTACAGGTAATAGTTTGGTGGTCTTTGCAAATCAGAACAAGGTGTGATGGTAGGAGCAGAGTTTGTGTTCAGGAATGGTTTTCAAATGAAAACTACGACCCTTAAAATACATTTACTACTTGTCATTCAACTTTTATAATTGATATAATGGGAAATTTTCAAATCAAAAACCCTTATTTGTTATTCAAGGAATATAAATGAATGTGAAACTGATGTTAAAGAAAATGGAAAAGGCTACCTTGTGAAGGTGCTAAAATTCCAATGTGAAACTGAATCACCATTGGTATCACTATATCTAGGTGACATGTCATCTGGACACGGGGAGGTATTTTACAGGAAAAAAAACGTGTGAAGGGGAAAGGAAAAGTAGATCCTTGAAGGTCTGGACAGCAGTCTGCCCAGTGCTGTTCTCTCAGTGCCATTGGGGATATAGGGACATTCCGTTTATTATGGGAAATCATTATTGTCTGAAATAAAAATATTCATCCTGTAAGTCTTACATAAGAAAGATCAAACTAAAAAGTGTACATAGATTACTCTATAAGCATCTTAATGTCTTTGTTTCTTCTCTCTGTCTGTATATACTGTAATATTAATAAATGCAGCATTTTAATGAGCTTTGACTGAATTACGTTCAGAGAGTTGGTGCAGGATGTTCCTTGGAGACACATAACTGAAGTTCCCAGTTTCTGGAGGGAAGTCTGTTCCTCATTAGCTGGGACAGCTAAGAGCGTGCTTGCTCAGAAGAGTGGGAGCCGCAGCATGAGCCCACCTGTGCCTCAACAGGACGAGGCCTTGTCTCTGCCCTGCTGTGGAGTAACCCCAGGGCTTTCATTAAAAGTGTCAGGCGGTTTCCCCAGAGCAAGTGCTGATGGCATGTCATGTTGGTGTCTCTGGAGGAGCTGCGCTGACACCTACTAATAGTCTGACAAACGGTTAAGTAGCTGTTTCAGCTTGGGTTGAGGAATCAAGCATGCCATACCTGAGCATGGAGCCCAGAGCATGTGTTCTCTCTGTATTCAGTGTTGTTCTATGTTGGCAGGCTCTACCCCATCTAAATCCCCTGCAGAGTACATTTCAGAGAAAACTGTTTTTTAAATAAGCCAGAATCTTTTCGCAGATGGATTTGTGTGATCATTTGATTTTTGACTGTCTAGCATCTAAAATCCCTCTTATATTAGAGGAGTTTCCCATTGCATCTGGAGGAGACCATGTCAGAACCCACTTGCATTTAGAAAGACTGGAAAGCCTAGTCTCCCTTTCTGAGCTCTGATACTGGGGCATGGGTGCATGGCTAGGCAGATGTTTCATAGGAGGCCTTTGTGCATCAAACAAAGCAAAGAAGCAGGAAAAGAGAATTCATATTAGAAGAAGCCACAGGCAGGGTTTAGAGACAGGAGTATCCTATAGGATTATAATATAATATAATACTAGCTATTATAATATAATAGCATTAGCTATTATAATATTAACTATCATAATATAATACTATGTGCTTAAGTTATTCTTTGGTGGATAGCAACTTTTTTATTGTGATTTTCCAGGCTTTGCAGGGATTCTGAGAGCTGAATTATTTAAATAAATTCTTTTTCTATGAAATTTAGACAGGGCTTCTTTCCATTGTTTGCAGTTAAGACCCAAACTCACTCATTTAGACCTGTGATTTGATTGTTGTCTAGTGGTAACTGACCACTAACGACGTCCAATGGCATTGACTTAAAAGGTTTGGCCAGGTATCCAAGTGTCTAGACTACAAGTCAGTGGAATGGAATCTTCTGTTTCAAACTGAACCTCAACCATGCATCTGCTCTTCTCCATTTTCTTAAAAAAAATATTATCCTCATGAAGGCTCCTGTATACTTAGTGTCTCTCTCAATACGCAGTACCACAGAGCTCCTGGTTATTAAGTGAATTAGATGTTGGTTCATTGACCTGAATAGCAGGTCAACAGGTCAAGAGGTGCAAGCACTCTCTGCATTAGGCCCTGGCCCAGGACTCCTTGGCATTTGTTGGAGAAGCATCTGTCCTTATGCCCTCAATTAATTCAGCATGCACGGCTTTGTAAAGTACCAATGTGCTGGGGACACAGGCAATGAGTTCATGTTGTAAGGATATTATGGGGCTATTCATTCTTTCCCTGACAGTTCCAACTCTACATTCCCTCTGCCAAATCTGGCAAAAGGGAAGAGAATTTTTGGTAGCACTCTGAATTCAACTTCAGATTTAGAATTATCTTACTTTTGTGTGGGGGGTTTTGGAGGGTGTGGGAGATAGGGCAGAAAAAAAGAAGAGATGAGAAGTAAGGGATGAGCTTAAGATATTTTAAGATACAATTCCCAAACTATTTCATTGAATTATGTGTCTGTATGTTTCATAGCACCAAAAACGTAACTCACATGGTCTTACAATACACTGAGTATATAGAATCATACATGTTTGTGGTCAGTAAAAGCAGTATTTTAAATCTTAGTCATTTCTACACTTCTTTTGCACGTCTTCTCACAGCCATGTAAATGATGGAAGTTTTCACAGGCTTTTAATTGTAGAAGAGTAACCATCCATTCTGACCTAAAGAAGTTTAGGATCTAAGCAGAGATGTGCTCCATTTTCCCTTTTGTTCCCAGCTGACATATAGTAACAGTTTTATAATACAGGGTGATGTTTTGATAAATACAGTGTGTAATAATTAAATCAGGGCACTTACCATATTTATAGATTAATCATTTATTATTGGTGAGAAACTTCAATATCCTTCCTTCTTGCTGCTTTGAAATATATTCAATGCAATGTTGTCAACTGTAGTTTCCCTGTTATGCGGGAGAAGCCGGAATGCATTCCTCCTGCCTAACTGTGGCTTTGTACTTCTTGATGAATCTTCCCCACTCAGCTGTCACTCCTACCCTGCCCAGCCTCTAGTCACTACTAGAGCAGCTTCTTTAGATTTCATGTGAATTGAGATCATGCAGTATTTCTTTCTGTGCCTAAATTATTTAATAAAATTGTCCTCCCAGTTCATCCATGCTGCGGCAAAAAAAAAACCAAAACTAGGTATCATCTGTATTATGGCTGAATATTATTCATGTATGTATATGTGCCACATTTTTTTATCCACTCATCCATCCATGGACCCTTATTTTGATTTCTTGACTACTGTGAATAGTGTTACAATAAAAATGGGAGTACAAATATTTCTTCAACATGTTGACTTCATTTCCTTTAAATATATACCTGATAATGGAATGCTGGATCATGTGATAGATATATTTTTGACTTTTTGAGGAACCTGTGAATTTTATAAGGAATATATTAATGTACATCCCTCCAGCTGTCCATAAGAGTTCCCTTTCTACACACACACACACGCACACACACACACAGACACACACATTTATTTATTTTGATACTAGCTATTCTAACTAGGGCAAGGTGATAGCTCACTGTGGCTTCAGTTGGCATTTCTCTGATGATTAATACTAGTGAACATTCATATATTTGTTGGACATTTGCATGTCTTCTTTTGAGAATTCTTTTTTTTTTTAGATCTTTTACTCATCTTTAAATTGGATTGTGTGTGGGCTTTGAGGTTTTTTTTGTTTTGTTTTATTTTGTTTTGTTTTGATGTTTATTTTTGCTATTGAGTTTATTTTAAAAATAAAACAAAGAAGTGGATCCTCTCACAGGTCAAACTGATAGTCCTCCTGTGAGACCTGAATAGTTACTGACTTTCAGCTATATCTGAGCTGTGTTGGGTATTGTGTATCAGGTCCTAGGTTGTTAAGATGCTAAAAGACCTATAGACTTTGTATACCTTCCACTTTCCCAAAGAGGGCTTCCAAAGAGCTTTCTAGAAAAGTAGTCTCACCTTCCCTCTTTTACCAAACATGAAATTTTCATTGTTGGAAAACTACATGGCTTTTGTTTATTGTGCTTTTGACCCTTTGTGGATTCATTTGTCATTGACTAATGTCTGTTCTCTTGCCAGGGAAGAGTGATCCTTTTTGCTTGTTGGAGGTAGGCAATGACCGGCTTCAGACACATACCATTTACAAAAACCTCAACCCGGAGTGGAACAAAGTATTTACATTGTAAGTGCTTTAGCCTCTGAAATACAGAGGAGTGGCTTTACTTAAAGCAATTATCCTTGATATGTTTGGGGCAGGCTGGGGCTCTTGAGTGGAACTTTTTGTCCATTTTTATGTGCAAAGAGTGAATTTTATTGTTTCTTTTTCCTTAAAACCTTTTATACTTTTATTTTATGGAGTGTGGTGTTAATAATAGAAGAGACTATTTGGAGCTGCAAGGGAGTGTTATAGAAGGCATTTGTAAAGTAGATCTTTCAAGTGACTAAATTAATCTGTGGGTATATGGAAGCCTCCATGTATCTAAACCAATTCATTCCTCAGTTAAATAAAGTCACAAATGGAGACCTGCCTTAAATTCAAGGAGCTTGTATGCTCTAACATTACCTTAAATGCCTGAAAGCTTGTATTATGCCAGAGTCATTAGGAAACACATATTATTTGTGAATCTTTAATGACTCCCAGAGCCTCCTTGTATTTATATTTAGCTGAATGACCCACTCCATAGCAATGCCCTGCCGACTCCATCAAACTTGTCTATTAAGGAGGCAGGATATACTTAATTTTCCTACTTTAGATTTCAAGGCACCTGACCATCAAGGGATGGCCCCTGTTGAATTTGGGTGAAATGATGGTACGTTATCCTCACAAAGCTGAATAAATGCTTAGTCTACAAAAGTCTAATTTGCTTGTGTGGATTTGATGATATTAATAGAAATCTCCCAAGGACCAATGAGAAAGTGGATCAGCTCTGCCAACAGGTCTGCCAGTGGCCAAGAATAAGAGTGTCTTGTCTCTCTAACACATTGTCAGTGATCATGGCTCTATTTTCATTTTCACTGGTGTCTGCCTTCTGGTCAACAACAACAACAACAACAACAAAGTTTCTAAATATGCCTTGGATTTTTGGCATTTGTGTTTTGACCACAGGAGGCTTTCTCACTATTTCATTAAATGTGAATTTTACCTTTCCTTTTCATTAACTTAAAGAAAACGTGATGCTTACTTTTCTCATTTCGAAGCAACTTTCTGAAATCATTTCCCTTTCCCTCTCACTCTTTCTCTCCTTTATTCTGCTCCTCTAACAGTTGCACCCTCAAGTGCACATCTACATGGAAAGAAAATGTCAGTAAAAAAGTTGACTTGATTTTTTTTTTCATGTGGATGTCTGAGTCTTCTATGATGGAAGGCTTGGGAATACAGTCAGTTTGATTTAATTTTTAGAATTTAATTAAATGGTAGTTTTATACTCTGAGGACACACAGACTTAATTAGTGAAACGGTGTTTTCAGATCTTCATGCAACAGACTTTCACTTGTGTGTTTTTGTGTATAAGACCTGATATTTCTTGTTTCAGTCCCATTAAAGACATCCATGATGTTTTGGAAGTGACAGTGTTTGATGAAGATGGAGATAAACCCCCTGATTTTCTTGGAAAAGTTGCCATTCCCTTGCTGTCTGTAAGTTCCCTTCCTTCATCAACAATTTGCAAGTTATTTAACAGTTGATGAGTTTCTGTGATCCAGAGCTGCTTTGTCCTTGTCAGTGCTAGAAAAAAAGAAATATTCTTGTAGCTGTAAAAGCAAACTACCGTTTTATTCCTTTTCCTTATGTTTGAGTTATAAAGAGACATCATCTTTTCTGTGTCAGTCCAGTATTGATTTAATCAACCATAACATTTTGTCCAGTCTGTCAATTCATTTCTCAGTCTTTCTCTCCATTTTTAAGCTTGGAGTTTCCATTTGATTTCAAGGAATATGGATCTACGACTCAGATTTCCATTTATTAATGGAAAACATGTATTTCTTTATACCTCCTTACCCTACGTTTCCTCAAAATTAAATTGTTGCTAACTGTACCTTCATTCTCAGCTCTGTGGAAGACCTTTTATCCCAAAGTTCCATTTGTATTTATTTATTTTTTTACTTGGTCTGTTCATTTTCAGCCTCCAAAAATATTTTGTGGAAGAAAGCAGAGATGTCTCTTAGAAATGGGAGAGTGTTTCTGTAGTCTGGTTTAAAGAGAACATACGGGGGTCAGCAAAGAGGAAATGCTGAATGAAAAAAAAATACTTATAAAATACAGCAGAGAAAACATCAAAGAAAGCCAAAAACATGGGCAAAAAGGAAAACTGTGGAGCACATTCCTCCATCCATTAAATGGACATTAACATGTAGGTCTGATGAACTGTTCTGAGAGAATTTTATGTTTTTCCTTCAACTGGCAACACGGTTTGTTGTAGACTATGGCTTCATCAGCCTATGAGATTTTATTTCTTCCCAAAGACTTATTTTTCCAAAGCTACTTATGCATCTTTGTGGATGGAGCACTCTGTAATTCAACCATGAGGTTAGTCTAGCTCACACAATGTTTACAGAGAGGGGAACGCTATACCTCTTAATATCTCTTCGTCTGTTTTTGATCGCTTGGTTAATTTCTCCCCAAGTTCTCATATCCCTGATGTTACTCTAAGAGCCTGCGTGAAGCATCTGCTCCCTCGTACAGCCGGCTCCTGCCAAATGCTCCGAGCTGTCGGCAGCAGACTGCGGGGCTCACAGAGAGGAGGTGGTGATCTGGGATTTCCCCCCTTTTTTATTACAGCGTTGTCAGTTATTCCTGAAAGAATACATGTAACAGGAATATGGGGCACACTTTTAGAGACCCTAAAGGTACTAGGAGAAAAAGCTCTTCTTTACAATTCACTTTCCTYCATTCACTAATTTTTTTGACATCTCTCTTCTTACTTTCATGCATAAATCTTAGTAGCACATTTTATTTCTTGCAAGGTGAACACATTTGCTAATTTTTCAAAACTCTCCCCTTTTGTTTGTGAAAGTTTCATGCCTGTGGTCTACAATTGCAACAACTCACTTAGTCTACTTGCTCCTTTCCCTCTTTCTCTTTTTCTTCCCGCATGCTCTACTTGGAAGATCTAAGAATTTAACTTCAGCTGCTTCACAACCTTAACACTGTTGACATTTGGAGCCAGAATAGTCTTCATCACATGGAGCTTTCTTGTTGCACTGTAGAATGTCCAGAAACATCTTTGACTTATGTGCTTACATAACTTACTTACATCACTTCCAATGGATAGCAGCTGCCACCCACTACTGCTATGACAACCAAAGTCATCTGCAGACATTTCCAAAGATCCTGAAGAGTCAGGAAATCCCTCCCAGTGTAGAACCATTGACTTACACTAAATCATTTTTCAAAACATTTCTCCAAAATATAAGGTGAAATGTTTTGTTGAAGAGCTGGTTGAAATACAAATAGCCATTCATCTTGACATTTTTTTCAGGTTCATGATAGCTTTCCTAAGGTCTGTTGATCATTCTGTCAATAGACATTGATCCAATGTCACTGTGCACCAGGCGCTGTTTTAGGTGACACAGCGCCAATGATGACCTCAGGGGAGTTCTCTCCTCACTTGGAGCTCATGGCTTCAAGATGTGTAGAAGAGGAGACATAAACAAAATGACACAAAAATTGTACACAGTGTGTTAGATGGGGAAAAATCAGGCAGAGGGAGGAGTGCAATTTTCCATGGCTGGCCAGTGAGAGCCATAAAAAAGGGGACATTTGAATGAGAATATAGATGAGGAAGTGAGTCTTATGATATCTGGGGAAACTTTCATGCAGGTTTCCTGCTTTGCAGCAGGACCTTGATTCTCAGATTCCAGAAATCCCTGGGTACTATTGTGGATGGAATGGTGTGAGTCAGGTGGAGAAAATTGAGATGCAGAACAGGAAAAGACCCTGGAGGACTTGGAAAGCCAAAGTTTGAAGAACTTGGCTTTTTCCTTTTGGAGGATGAGGAACCACAGGGTGTTTCGAGATAGACAGTGCTTGATTTATTTTACTTTATTTGTTTCTAGGATAAATGGGCTGTGGCACATCTGGAAATATATGCCAGTATGAAAGGTCTTTGCCTTGTGAAGCAGCATGGCTGGTCCTTTTTCCTCTTATGGATTTTGGAGTCCCTGGCACGGTGCATTGGATATGATACTTCAGCTGCTGCCATTCAGTGTGGCTGATCTGATTCAGATTCATTTCTGATTTATTTTTGATTCTTTGATGGATAAATTGGGGAAGCGATCAGACCCCACAGTGTATCCCTGTGCTTGTCTTGACATCTTATGCTCCACCTGCCATTTCCAAATTAATTGATCTCTTATGTTACATGGAGATATAAATGTTTTTTTAAATGCTATGACCCTCATTATCACTAGCATACTTTGAGCTGATTATCTCATTGATCCTTCTATATACAAGTAATTCTAACTTGTGGTTTAGAGAGTACATTTTAAAATCTACCTATTTAGATCTAGGATTTTGTTCTTTATACTGATTGATGCCTAACTAGCAAACTCTGTGCTGTACACTTAACATATGTTGAATCATTAATTCTCTGATGACTTAATAAGACATGCTTTGTTATTATGCCAATATACAAATTAGGAAACCGAGGCACAGAAAGAATCCTATAGCTGCTGAGTGATAGAAGCAGGATTTTAATTCAGGCAGTTTCATATTAGAGCCTGAGCTTCTAAGAAATGTCAGATGGGCACAGTAAAGACCTATGAAATGAATATTGTGCCCAAAGCAGTAGACAAACAAGACCTCAAATAACAAGGGCCCCAGGAAAGGAACTAGACAATAGGAAGTGAGAAGTATGGATGTAAGCATTTAGAAGACAAGGAGTTGGAACTGGGTCAGGAAGGAATAGGGTGTTGGTAGTGACTTCAGTGAGGTCAAAAGGGAAGATCTTCTATGTAGAAGAGATATGTGAGCAGTAAAGCAGAGGAGGGACACATGCTGGGGCCAGGAGGGGCCTGTGTCTGGAGCTCAGCAAGATTACAGAAGGGGAGGGGGAGGAGGAAGGTTACTCAGGCCTGTGGAGGGTGCAGAGAGGTTTGGCTTACTCTGTCAGCAGGAAGCTGCTGAAAGGTTTTGACCATGGGACAGAGACATCAGTGCAATTTACTAGGAAGAAAATTTTCCTACAGTATTAAGCAAATCTGAGAGGAATTTACTAAAATTCCCAGAATTAAATAAGCATTAAAGAAAACGCAAGATCACATTGTATCTTCTTAGGAGAAGAACCTATTTTTTTTTGTGGGGGGTTAATATGAGAAAGTATTATAAAAATGAATTTATTGGTGCTTCACTATCATCTATAGAATACAGAACAATATTCAATAATGTCTCCTTTTATGTTTAAAAACAAATATTTTATTTTAATTTATAATTAACAATTTGTTCCCAGGAATGGGAACAGTTTGTGAAAATGAGTTTTTTTTTTTTTTATTCAAGTCATAAACTAAAATTTGGCTTATGCTTTTGGAGACAATGCAAACTACATTTTTTTTAACGTCTAAGTAGAAAGTGCAGAAGGTACTTTAACTTTTAATCTTACTCTAAATGTTAATGTGTTAAGTGCATTTAAGCCTGTTAAATAAAGAGCCTGTTCTAAATTCACTATATCTTTTTATTCAGGGTGAAAGTACTAGCTGACTATTGGTTCATTTAAAATCCATATACTGAAATAAGTATATTTATTAGTGGTGGTGAATTGTTCAAGATGTATATGTACAATTGGTCATATATCAGGATTAAAAGAATCCAGGCCAGAAAGCCCTCCTTCCATAGATTTTATTTCTCTTAGTTTTGAAAAAAATTAATTATTCTACAGATATGCAAAGCTCTTTAATCAAATATAGGTGATTAAGAATAGTGGGAAACTGAGATTAGACTGCATTACCATCTGAAGACTTCTTCCATGGCTGGTCAGTGAGAGCAAAAAAGGGGACATATATCTCCTCATTTTCACTTTGCTCCTGTACTTTTCTAATCAGTCAATTTACTATATAGTAAACAATATAATGGAAAGCAATAAGCACATTTGAGAGTTTTCAAAATATTTTTGGGGAGTAGACATTCTCTTCTAATAATTAGTTGGCTCAATCGATTTATTTAACATGTCTATCCTCAATTTAAGTGATACTAAACGTGTCTTGAAAATCGGGTTGTATTCTCCTCTAGGTCAGTCCTTTTTATTCACTTGTACAATTATTCTCTTAGAGTTATCTAATGGTCCAATTTAAGATGAGTAAAATTTGCCTTACAGACTTGATCTGTAAAATAGGAAAAAGCATACATTTATTATTTTCTAATAACCAAGAAAGAATCATCCAAACTTTGAGAGTCTGCATTTTGAAACAAACATGAGTCCTTTTGTATGGGTCAGAACAACATGGACACAAAAGTGTCATCACAATAATGGGGCTTTCACAGTGCCATTAGAGGGCCCCAGCACCCTCAGTGGATTCAGGTACTTGATAAGTAGCTGCACCAACAGCAACTTCACCTAGTTTTATGAGACAAATTTTCTGTAGTTGCTTATACCAAATAAATGCCATGCAAATAGCTCTTTACATTTTCAATTAAGTATTTATCT